CACTTGCTGCCCTTCTGCCGCGGCCAGGCAAGGAAGCAACTGCCTGGGTTCTGCTTCCAAAGCAAGTCCTTAGCAATAAAATGCAATCGTACGGATCTTTGGCTAAGTCACTGAAGAAGGCCGCGAAGATCTGAGCCGGGGCCCCTGGACCTAACACTGAACACAGCACTCGGAGAGCTAAGGGTACTTCCAGTTTAGACAGCAGCATGTGTCCAACTACCTTATTTCCACAGGTGTGGCACTTCAAGAAAAAGGAGAAGGGGAAGAAGCATTGAAGGGGAGTCCCGGCTCTTTGTCTGGATGCCTCGTCTTCCCCGTGGCCTTCATTTGTTCTCGATCAGAGTCTGGACTTTATAGACAAGGTCCCGAGCCAGCTTCAGGATCTGCTTGGTGTTGTGCCGCTCAGCCATTTCTGGAACACAGACAGAAGGAACCCCCAGAGAGGCTAGACCCGCGGAGCCCGGCGGCTCGAGGAGCCCCCCCAGCCTCCCAGCTCTCCTCTTCCCAGCCGAGCGCCGGGCGGGAGCTGAACCTGCGAATTCCTACGCAAGTTCCCAAGCACCATCCCTCGAAGAGACACCTGACTCTGAAGAGCCATCATTAACCGCCTCATCTCGGGGTGACTACAGCCAGCAGAAAGCACAACCTACGCTCACAGCTCCCTCCAAGCATGGCAAGGGGGGCTGGTGCCAAGGATGGCATGGTGGCTTCCCCCAGGCACCATCTGACCCCCTCAGAGCCTGACAGTTTGGGGGCAAGGGGTCTCGTTACCACCATGTTCCAAATATCAGCATCGCACAACCATACACCGCTCTGTTTGTTTTAAACATTTACCAGTATAGCCCGGACGTGACTGTCTGTAGCCAGACAGAGATGTGCTGCCCACATCCGAGCAGCTGCCACAAATTCAGCCCAACAGAACACAAACCGTACCGTTGAAAAACTTGATGATGTCTGTGAAATCCATGTTGTTCTCCAAGATTATGTCCCGGTACATTTCCACCAAAGCCAGGGCTATGAAGAGCACATAGTGTGCAGAGGAAACGTGTGCAGCTGCCCAGATGGTCTCCCAGACGGCGAAGACGTCATCGTACACCAGCTCTGTTACCAGAGGAAGAAGCCCAGCAGTTAGTACACCAGCCACGCATTTACAATCATCCTGACTCACAGACTTCACAGCAGCGCTGGGAAGACGTGCTGGGTGGTTTCTCCTCGCAAGAACCTGTTCCAGTTGGAAGCAATAAGTCAGTCATCTGCGGAGACAAATATTCTGGCCTGCAGCAGGTGGCAGAGGCTCCAGGACACAAACCCGGTGGAGGCTCACCGGCCGCTCTGGAACAACAGGTTCTGTACCTAGACAGAAACGTCAGCCACAAATCTACCAGAGAAGAGCAAAACAGGAACACGTGGTAAAAAGTTATGTTCAAGCAACTGAGGTTGCCGAGTGTATTGAGAAGCGCGGAAGCACGGCAGACCTTGCCTTCCCTCCCCTTGGCTGGTCTCAGCTGCCTCCCTCCCAGCACACACCTCTCTTGAAGTCCAGGAGAAACCATCGGTAGCAGAAGTAGAAGTGAGTGTAATCACCGTTCTGGTGCATCAGCTCGAAGAGCTCAGAGTCCAGAATCTGCCAAGAAAAGCAAAAAGAAACCCACTTGGTGCACACGAGAGGCGCCAGCCATTCCGCTGCCTGCCTTCCTCCAGTCCCACTGCTCTCCTGCCGCACCACCACATCTTCCACCCAGCTTCTCCCTCCCAGGCAATCCTGGCACGTTACTGCCAGGCTGTCTTTACAGCTCCCTGCTCTCCCTCCTGCTTCCCACCACCGAAAGCTCCTCTCAGCCCCTCTGAGACCCCCGTCCCAAGAACAGCTTGCCCCCTCTGGTTTGAGAGGCTGCTGAGCCTGTGCCGGGACCCCCCTACCTGGATCAGCGATCTCATGTTGGCAAAGTGGGTGTCCATGGCTCCTCCGTGGGGGAAGTTCTGATTCATCCTCTTCATAAGCTCGGTGAAACAGCTGAAAGCCAGAGCCTCTGCGCGGGGAAGAGAGACGGTCACTGCTGGGCTCCCCGGACACTGCTGCACCCGCACCCGCATCCCAACATCCACCCACGGCAGGAACATCCCTCCTCGCTCCACACGCAGCCAGGGGCACGGCCTTGGAAAGACAGCTCACGCTGCAAAACGTACATGCTGTCTCCAGGTTGGGCTCCTGGGAGTCAGACAGCATCAAGGACAAACGGGATCCTGCCACCAGCTGCTCCGCACCTCTCAGCATGGGACCTTCCCACCACAAAGGGCCACCACGATCAGCCCAGCAGATCCCACCACGTGTTCCCACAAAGGTATGGGGAAAGCGGAGCAGAGCCACCTACTCACCGTCATCCAGGATGACCAGGAGTGGGGCTAGCAGATCACACATCCCCTGCACATAGCCGATCTCAATGTGCTGCCAGATGTAGCTGTGGGAGAGAGCAGGAAAGGTGGCCCGTGAGCCCTTCCCTTGCCACACACAAGTGCCACAGCCTGCCACCTTGCTCGCCCGTGCCCTGCCTCCGTTCCTGGGACGCTAGCGTTTCCCACATGGTGCCACCAACGCGTGGTGGCAGGCAGGGCAAACCAGACATGTTTATTCTGTTACACCTGTGCTCCATTCCTCTACAGCTGGCTTGGGAATGATTAAGTTCCTGTGATGACTTTCAGGTAAGCCATGCATGGCACAGCCCTGGATCAACACCCTGCAACGGCTGTGGCCACGACCACGTCAGGGTGTTGATGCAGGGCTGTGCCGTGGCTCCTGCAAGAAAATCAGCAGACGGAAAAGTGAAATCAAAAAGCACAGCAAGGCAGGGGGGGTCGGTCAAAGGGCAGAGACTGATAGAGTTTGTTAATTTATCTCTCCTTCTCCCCCTTCCTCCTGGATTCACCCTCGTGGCTCTCTGCCCGACACAGCCCGCTTCGCCTCCCTGGACCCCGTGTCCCAGGAAGCAACCAGCCCTGCAGAGATATCTTCCCATATTTGGTAGCAAGTCAAAATGTGTTCAGAAAGGACTCGGATGCACTGCTGGCACAAGGCAACGGCCTTTTCCATCCTGCCCACAAGTTCTCCAAAATCTGCTGTATTGCAGGTCTCATCTCAGCAGAGATCTCCAACTCTGGCTGTCAGATAAAGCGACAGCTCTAATGAAATAGCAGCTTCTCCTCATATTTGCAAGATGAGTAATAATATTTCAGCCTTCGCTGCCCCCAAAGCAGCCGCGGCTGCTGAGCTGGAGTTGGTTTGAGTCAGTGAATGTCACACAGCAACCTCTCACTCACAGGGACTAAGCAAAGCGAATCAGAAACGCACCCAGGTATGGCTCTCTCCTGGGCAGGCGCTAACCACTGGGTCGCTTCAGGCGCTGCCTCATTAGCACTACTGTGGGCTGATCCTCATTAAAACATTTTCCAGCCGTATTCCAGAGAGCAGGCGGGCTGCGCCGGGTTCAGCCACGCGGCAGCACGCCTGGGCAGCCCCAGGGAACCCTCTGCGTTGTCCAACGACCCGACCCACGGCAGTCACGGGGCAGAGCAGCACAAGGCAGGACTCCTCGGTCCGCCGACCAGGAGCTCCTTGGAGCTGCGGCCCCAGTTCTGGGATGACGATGGGATTTGGGGGAGGAAGTCAAAGAGGCAAAACTCAGTGACCAGGACGAAGTTTGAGGCTCCAGCCTCAAGGTGAATTCAGGGACACCGAGCAGCAGTGCCAGGAGCCCGCTGCCGTCGCGGGGAGGGCTGGTGGGCCCCCACCCTGACCCCCACGGCTCCCACCTGCACATGATGTTGCGGAGTTTCTCCAGGTTCGCAGGGGTGAAGTACCAGTAGTTGCGGTCACACCGCTGCACGTCCTTCTCAATGCGATGCAGGTTCACCGTGTACATATCCAGTAGCTCTGGCTGCCCAAAACAAAAGCAAAGGTGAGTTGTTTTCAAATAAAAACCAAAAAGAAAGTTGCAAGGGCAACGGAGCAACAGGGCAGGGTTTAGGTGGAAGGCGGAGAGCCCCTGGACGCACAACTGCAGGATTCGCACAGGGCAAATAGGGAGGCACGCAGGAAGAAACCCACTCAGCAAACAAGTAGATACTTACAGAGTAGGTGACACCCGTGGAGCAGACAGCAGATGCTTCACTGTTGGTCAGGTCAGCCACAGCCAGAGAATCCAGCTGCGGGTACAAGCTCTCCATCTCCGGCTCCTCAGAGAGGTTACCTTCACTCTCCACCAAGCTTTGCTTTTCGGCTTCGCTGTCTGCCCAGCTCTCTACCACAGTCAGGGCCACCGGGTCACGATCACGCAGGACCCCTGCCGAGCTCTCACCCACGGGAACAAAGTCCACGCTTCCACCGGTGGGGAATTCACCTTCCAGGCTGTCTTGGCCCTGCAGCTTCTCCTCTCGCCGGGCACCATCCGGGTCCGGTGGGGCTGGCACATCGGACCCGCCGGCCTTTCCCTGAGAGCTGGCCGAGGATTTGTTGGTTTCCAGGGCGCTGTCCTCATTGCTGAAGCTGCGCTCGGAGAAACCCGATGCGATGGAGAAGTTCTGGGAAGAGGGGTGGCCAGAATCAGGGGAACACGTGCCATTGGGAACTGTCCCGTTAGGGATCTTGCTCTGTTTGCCATCTTCCAGCTGAGCATCTGCTTCAGTCTGCTCCACTTCATCAACAGATTCAAACACCTGCGCAGCACGAGCAGAGAGCCACGTGAGAGCGAGCAAACTGCATTCAGCAAACCGTTGGGAACGCGGGCATTACGTCCCCAAGAGCCGCATTCAGCAGTTAAACTGCTGAATGCGGCTCTTGGGGACGTAATGCCCGCGTTCCCAACGGTGGGGAGGGATGAAGGTGTGCTCTATGTGTGCAGGGCTCATACAAGCAACCAGTGGAAGAAAGCTCGGAGGACTTGAGGGCATTTTAACTCCCTAGTGCTGCGCCTGGCTGTGGCTCCACACCTCCGCTATAATGAGAGACAACTTCAGCCTGAGCATCTAGCTCTCCGTCCCACTTTAACCAGATTCTTGGAGGAATTTCTGGGCACGGTCCTCAGCCTTTAGGTTCCCCTGCCTGGTTTTGGCAGGTCAGCGCTTGGTCATTTGCACAACTCGGAGCCCACAGTCCCTGCTCCAAGGGACAACGCTTTACTCAGCGTGATATATTGGGCAGAACATCATTTAAACAGGTTGGTTAAACACATGGTTACTAACATACGGAGCAGCCAAGGGCCCTCAAGTGTGAAGGCCACATGGTTGTTGGTCCTTTGAACCTGGGCAGAGCAGGCTGGTAAGATTAAACACCGCCAAGCGGTGCGCAGTGCTGACCCTGGTGGCTCCAGAGCCAGGTCTGTGAGTCATTTACCTCCTCCAACTACTGCTTCTGTTTGCCAGAGATCATTATGGTTATCGACTAGCGATCAGCCCAAGCCGGGGCAGAGAGCCATACGCTGTCGCGTGGCCGATGTCTGTATGAGCAAGAAGGGACAAAGCGCTGCCACTCACCTGCGTGCTGGAGCTGGAGTCGCTCTGCAGCCGGGCGTGATTCTGTCGGCCAGAGCTGCAGCTCTGAGAAGACTGCAAGAGAGAGGGAAAAGGCCAGTGAAAAGGCAAAGAGCGTGGTGTCTGGAGCAGGGGGAGACTCAAGCCATGCTATCAGAGATGGGCACATCTGCATGTAAAGAACAAGCAGAAAATGCATCCAATAAATTCTCATATTTGTCCCATGAAAGATGTCCACATCATGTCAACTGTGCCGTGCATGTGTCACACAGCACAGCACCCTCCCTCTGCCCGCCACTGACATTTACTGCTGGAGAAGATGACAAAAAACCAAAGTCCCGGGCCAATCCAGTTGTTCAAACACTGTTTGTTTGGGTCTGAAAGGAACTGCTTTCTTCTGGCCTTCTGAGAGGTCACACTGTCTCCCTGGAGTGCAAATTTCTACAAATCTCTGTCCTAATTTGGCAGCAATGCAGCTCGCCCCATCTTAGTTTACATAAACGATGAAGTCACAGGCTATAAACCAGTCCCTCTAAGCATATTAATGCTTTTTCCTTTTCTTAAAGGACAAATATTGATGTTTTAAGCCAGACTCAGTCCAGGCAGCCCCTCTAAAAGTCAACAGCACCCTTTTCTGGCTTCCAGCTGAAGCACAGAAGGAAGCGTCGGGCTTTGCAGCAACCAGTTCAGTGCTCTGCCTCGTGGATTCCCTCTGAGCAACGAGCCTTCGCTTAAGAGCGAGTCCTCCCTGTCATCCGAGCCACCCCTGCGCCAGGCGGATTGCGGCGCAGGAGCCCGCGGCTGCTCAGGCTGCGCGCGTGGGGATGGACCGAGCATTGCAATGACATCACACACAAACAATAGGGTTTTAAGAAAACACGGCGCTTTCAGAACGGCAGCAGGAGCCATCCCCACCCCAGTATTGTGGGTGTTTGCTGGGCAGGGCTCTGATGGAGAGAGGAAGGGCGACAGTTTTCCTCCATTGCCATGGGAGTGTTTTATAACAGGAAATCTCAGGTTGAGATGGGAAAAGGGAGAACCTTTGCGCGCATTAACTCTGCCAGCTCCCCTCCCAGCGCGCGTTCCCAGAACAGGCGGATGTGGATACTAAAGAGCCACCGCAGCACAGATGCTGTGGGAACGATCCACGGGGCTTCAGCCACACCGACCGCGCAGCCCACCTCTGCTCCCCCGCGAGAGCTGCGCCATCCAGCTCTTGCGCACAGACCCCGCTCCGCACTTGCCCTCCCTCCACCTCTCCCTCTCTGTACACACACACAGCCCGCATGGTTGGGGCTGAACTCATCTCTTTCCAAAAGCATCCACGTGGTCTCCCCAGGGGAAACCAGACAAAGTCTCCAGTGCTGCACCTACCGGGCCCTTTTTGGCTTGGCCTCCGTTCGCCTCCGGTGCGGCAGCGTGAGGTCAGATAACCCAGCGCTGCTCGCCGTGCTGCGCCGGGCTGTTCTCCTCCAAGGGAAACGCTCCCTGCACTCTGTTCCCAGGACTGCCTTTCCTTGACAGGCTTTTCCCTCCACACCCTTTGGTTCAGGCTTTGTATCTAGCTCCTCACTGCGTTGCTAAAAGCCAGTCCCATGGAGCTGGGTGCTGGGGCATGGTGGCCACCGCTGCTCCAAGCCCCACAGTCTCCTTCACACCCAGACTTAGAGCCACCCCACTCCTCCTGCCCACAGGCAGCAGCTCAGGCTGCTTCCGTGCTGAGCAGCTGATGGAAGAGGGAGCCAAGAAGCCAATTGACATGTTTCACAGCCCCTCAGGGCCAAAATTATGGTCCTCCTCCCTCCCTCTACTTCAGCACCGACTTCCAGGGAGCTAATCCTGATGTGCCCCAGGAGCGCAAACTGGGTATCGCATCTCTCTTGTTCTCCAGAAGTACCCACAAGGAACGTTTCACGGGACTGGTGAGAGCGCCTGGATTCGGACGCGTGGCTCCACAAACGAGCTCTGGGGTCATGGCTGACCCGCTGCCCTCTGCCCGGACCCCCTGCCCTCTCCCTGCTGTCCCCCCCTTTCAGGCCTCCTGTGCCCAGCACCCTCACCCGGGGTCACGGATGCAGTGCTGTACAGTGCCGCTGCGGATACTGCGGCTGCAAGAACCAAAGCAAATTTGTTAGACCTTCAATACACCGCTCAGGCTGCAGACCAAAACCTCTCGGTCAGTGCGGTACCACACGGTACGGAAACTGGGGTCACACTGCAGGAGATGCCCACGCCTACTGCTAAACGCTCAGGAAGAGCAGAAGAAAGAAAACGGGCAAGAAAGCTCCAATCCTAACTTGCACGGATCACAGTGAGTAAGGAAGCACAGAGACAGGCAGAGGTCAGGGAAGGAGAGTGAGCAACAAGGGTACCTCCATCCCTCTCTGTAGCACAAGCCGAGACGGAGCCTGGGTGGGCACAGCCCTTCCCGAGCCCCCGCGCCCTCACCTCATTGCTGATGGTCGAGTCCCTGTGCATCATCCGCTGGATGTGGGAATCCAGACTGGCCCCGGAGGAGCACTTGGCCAGAGCTGCCGCGTGCGACTCCTTCTCCCGCTGCCGGACGATGGCCTCGCAGCCCAGCCACTCCGCCATGGTGTGCTCGTAACAGCTGCGCATCTGGTCATCAGCCTGCAGCGTTTGGAGAGACAGAGGGTCTTTGAACGGATGCCCCTGGAAAAACCCCAAAATCAGTGCCCCTTCCACCCCCCAAACAGCCCTGCACTGACAAGTTAAGTGCACACTTGCATTAACCATGGCTATATGGGACACAGAGTCACCCATCTCCGGCACAGTGACAGCCAGAGCCAGACCCACAAAACCTCACAAAAACTGGGACAGAAAAATGACCATCCATGTCCTTCCTGCCTTCCAGAGGTGCACGGGGCACTGCACGTGAGCGACCAACAGCTGCACAGGGGAGCGTCCCGCTTGGGCTGAATCAATTCCTGAGCTCTTCTCCCACCTCCTGTCTACAGCCGCAGCACAAAGGGGACACAATGCCCAGTGGGTTCCCAGGGCGGACTCTGGCATACGGACACGTCGAGCTGTGAAATATCCCGGGCATGTGACCGCAATACACCAGGCTGCTGAGCTGGCAGCACACCCACACCAACCTCTTTCCTTTCTGCCTCCGTCATCCCAAACTGGTAATGGCCCAAAAGGAAGGGCCAGACAGCCTTCCTGATCTCGTGCTGGATCCCGCCGTAGTAGATCAGCCGCAGCAGCTCCTGGTCCTCGTAAGTCTGTAGGAAGAGCTCCAAGTCAGTGCACAGACACAGGCAGGACCAGAGCCTGGCACAGAGCAGATGACAAGGACAACCCCAGCCTGGTCATGCCACCCTTTAGCACCAGAGTGCTGCCCGGACTCTGACCACCCGCAAACTCGCTCCCCATTCATTGCAGATGATCTCTCAGATCTCTGCTCGAGCATAAGCAGAGCCAGAGGGCCCCGCGGGTGGACATTTTGGGAAGCACTGGCTCACTGCAACCAGAAAGTGGCCCACCAAAGTCACTCAAGGTCACTGCTGTGCCTCTGATAACTGTCAGGACTGTGACACTGGCCACTGCTCTCCAGCCATCCTGCCATAACAGCGTGCTGGGACCCCGCTCAAGACCACAGTACTCCGGGTGACACACTGCCACAGAGCAGCTCTGAACAGAAGCACATTAAGGAGAGCAACGTTCGTTCCCCGGCTTCCACGTGTGGAGGATTAGGAGTCCTGGGCTCTGGGCAGCCTGGGGCAGGCTCTGACCTCTTCTCAGGGAACTTTGAGGGTAGTGAGCCCCTGGGGCAGGTTGCCCCGAGAAGCTGTGGCTGCCCCATCCCTGGAGGTGTTCAAGGCCAGGTTGGACGGGGCTTGGAGCAACCTGGGCTGGGGGGAGGTGGCCCTGCCCAGGGCAGGGAGTGGAACTGGATGAGTTTTAAGGTCCCTTCCAACCTAAACCATTCCATGATTCTATAAACTTCTCGATGCGCACCACAACTGACACGTCCCAAGAGTACCATCCCTACCGTGCTGTCCTGCAGGTATCTCTGCCATATGTCCACAGTCAGTCCTGAGCTGGCACTGCAGGGCACATCAGGAGACACGATGTTGTGGTTAACCAGCGCAGATAGGTGGGTTCGCACCGTGGAGAGGTGTCTGCAATACGCCAGCCCTGCAACAGGCAGAAGCAAACATTCAGCTGGGGAACTCAGGGAGCTACGAGGATGAAGTGCAGGAGAAAGCTCTGATGAATCTGGTCCCTGATGGACATCCTCTGAAGCCACAAGCAGCCCAAGCAGCAAAGCAGGGAGTCTACTGGGACAGGTCAGTATCTCATCGTCTTGTACCACCAGCACAGCTGCTCGCTGGGCTGAAGTCCGAGGGTCAAAGTTCCAGTGTTTGCTCCCAATCCGGAGCATGGGTACACAGGGCCCTGCATGCAACAAACTGGTCCCAGTACCCTTGGCCACTGCCCTGCTGCCTCAGCACCACTGCTAGCCCAGAGGTCAGGACACATTGCCCATCAGACATCTCAAGGCATCGTGGATGTGACAAGTACTCACAGCCATAGAACGCCCGGGAGAGGATCTGGTACTTCATATTGTCACACAGGAGCTTCAGTGGAGCTCTGCCAATAAAAACACACTGGATGTGAGGAGAGGAAATGCTCCCACGCATGCCCTCAGCCCCTGCTTTGATCTGACCGTTCCAGCTTTGCCTTCAGAGGTGCACCATGGGACCTCTGCTCAGCTTGGGAGCGGCAATTCTTGCTGCCAGGACACGGCCACAGAGCAGCCGAGATGTCCCAGATGAGGGACACAAGCCTCACTTCAGCCTGGACATGTCCCATTGGCACTTGCAAATGCTCCCTGGACAACCTAGCCGAGTGTGAGGCCGGAGACACCACTTGCACCATAATTGCTCTCGTTGAGCCATCTAGCTGGGCTTTCCCTGGAAACTTGGTTTCATTTCACCTGTATTTCTCAAAGCAAGCAGCAGCAGAGCTGTCATACCTTTCGTGGCTGCAGCCGTTGGATGGCCCACCATCGGAGGAGCCACTCTGAGAGCAGGAGGAGCAGGAGGACTTGCGGGTGCTGGGCTGCCACATGGGAGGCAGGCCAGCACCCGACGTGTCCATCAGGTCCTGGGGCACTGTAAGAGGGCAGAGAGAGGAGCATCAGCTACCGTCTGGCACTGCCCCGGTGTCAGGTGAGCCACAGGAGGTCAAGAGAGAGGAGAGTTTCAATTAGCAAACGCAGCATCCCACACAATTCCCAAGGAAACTCCAGCAACCAGGTAGGACCCACGCCAGGTAATCACAGCACTGGTGAGCTCAGGAGAAAGGAAAGGAAACAAAGAGCATTGATGAGAGACAGCGAGAACCTTCTGCTAATTAACTACAGCGCCTTCAGCAAGGTAATCTTAAACTGCTGAGAGCCGACCAAGGCAGAAAACAAACACCAAACCCAGAGAGACTCGAGAGAAGGGGCTGCAACAGACTGTCACACAGATGACAAAAAACATGATTGAAATCAACTGTTGTCCCAGGAAGAGCCGATCACCAAAAGGGAACAGCCCCCATCTCTCAAACATTAGGATCCCATCCAAGATTCAAGATGAGAGCATCCAAATCACAAACAGGAGATAAAGACTTAGACGAAGAAGTTGAGAGGGACAGCAGGAGCAAGAAGCTCTTCATGTTGTCACTTGCTAAATCCCCGCTTAAACTCCAAAGTGCTATTGCAATGGCTTCGGATCCTGCTCCGGCATCGCCCCGCAAACCGGCCGGGCGCAGAGCCAGCGCGAGGGGACTGTGCGGCCCCGAGAGCCGAGCCGCCCCCACCCTGAGCAGCTCAGCGCCTCGCCTGGCCTGGAACGGGCCGTCGTGATGAGGGTGAACTGTGGGCTGTGGACAAAGATTAATGAAGAATAATCCTATTTGCTTCTCCTTGGAAATAATCACGGTAGAAATTCCAGCTTGAGCTGGGAGAGGGCTTCCTCACTCACCCCTGGACTCTTCCTGCTTGTGATATTGAATAACTGATGCTAGCAAGAAAAATGTTGAAATATTCCTATTTCCCTCATATTGAGCAGGTGCCGATAGGTCAGCGATGGTCAGCAGTGACAGGGGACACCTCTGCAGGAATTGTCAAGTGACAACACTGGCAAGCCATAGTACCAGACAGAAACAACAGTCGCATTACACTGATGCCGAGCGGCCCCCAGAGCACCAAGGGGAGGTCGGGACGTGACGGGGAGACTCGGAAACCATTTAGGGATCACCACTATCTTGCTTGCAGCTGGAGTCCTCGCGATCTTCCCTCTCACAGCAGCAATGGAGATCACAGACGCAAGGAATGGATGAAAATTACCATTAATGGTAACTAGGGACACAGAGAGAGGACAAGGGCACAAATGAAAGGGGAGAAAGGACGAATCTATAGAGAAGAAAGAACTGGTGCAGTTCCACCCCCCTCTGGGAAGGTCCACAGGAACTGCAGACTTTGATGATGCCAGCTAAGGAGATTGCAGCAATTCATTTCACAGAAAATCTGGCCCCCAGGATGGAATTTTAAGGGGTAGATCAAAAGAAAGCTACAGAAAGGAGCATCTCTATCTGCTATTTTAGCTTCAATCAGATTTTCATCTGACTCACTGAATTGTGTTAGTCAGCTAAAGGCAGGGAGAACTAAGCATAATCTTAACTGATGTTATGGAGGAGTCACAGGAGATGTGATTGCCCCCTTCTAGCCTCAAAAATACAGGAACAAGTTTTTAATCAAATTTCATAGCTTTTTAAAAGCGCTCCACAAATCTTCTATCGCACTCTTGGTTTTCCCCCTTATAAAGTCATCTATGATGTTCCCAGAGATCAAAAAAATTGTTCTCAGTATCCCACAGAAGAGTGAGGACAAATGTGCACCCACTTCAGCCAAGCACATCATTCGGATAATTCACACCCAGACACTAAGAGAGAGTTCCGGTTTGGTGAATCCAGCAGCGCCCTCTCCCTTGCCCTGGGAGCTACGGAGCGAAGGCACATGGGCCAACCTGGCAGTACAGAGAAAGGTGCTGGCACCTCTCCTTTGCGCTGCAGAAGCAACGCTGAAGAAACATCGCTGGATTTAACGCAGCGCTTGCTGAGTTGGCCTGGTGATAGCAAAAGAAGAATCAGCCCTGGAGGCTTGTGGTGGTGAAAAGCGACCCCCAAGGAACATTACCAAAGTGAACTTCACTACTGAAATTACGTGCAAGATTTTTTTTCCCAACCATTAAGGCAGCCCTGGCCTGTTGTGCAGCTGCAGAAATGAAGGACTCAGTAGCAAGTGAAAGGTTAAAAAAAAAAAATAAAATCCCAACCCGTACATGATGTTGAATAAAAGGCGGCGCTGTTACAAGCAAAGCCCATTTCTCTGGAACCATTTGCTGGGGCGAACTGCAACGTGCCTGTCGGTGCTGCGTCTCTGGCTGCTCATACACCCCGTCAGAACCCACCTCAAACGCTCTCCGCCAGAGCACTCACCAAATTCAGACTGTGTCCCTGGGTAGATTATTCTGAAAACATAATCTGTGGCTTCGTCATCTTCCTTGTCGGACGCAGACTCGGAGGAGCCCTGGGGACTTCGCTTCCTCAGCTTGGGAAACACCTTCCCCTACATGAACAAAACCTGCCCTTCACAAGCCGCCCCGCGCCCGACCACACCAGCCAGCGCGGTCACCGCCTCGCTGGCGGAGCTCCTGCCCAACAAGAGCACGTGCTTTGTCAGCCCAGGTGATGTTTGCAGGTTCCCTGTGCTGGAGCAGCCTTCGGATTAAGCTTTCAATCACACAGTGAATATATTTGTGCGCAGGGTATGTATTATCCGTGCGGCGTGCCCAGGTCCGTGAGGACCACACCTGCCATGCCCACAGCCAGCACCCCCAAACCACATCCCTTCTGATTCGCCCAGAAGGGTCTGTTTAGCTGGTGAGGGCCATGAGCTAAACCAAACTGCCGTATTTCAAGCCCACCTTCCTTCTTGGTTTTGGGAGGGGGATTGTTTAAAATGCAGCAGCCACTGATGCCGGGCAGAAGGTCCCCCTCATCAGCTCTGAGACACTCCAGCAGTGCCGCAGGCTCAGGAACAAGCCCGGTTTCGGGGTGCCTACCTTTCCCCGCTGCGACCAGAGGGGTGGGTCCAGCTGCCCATGGGGCAGGAGGCCGTTCTCCAGGCAGGACAGGAACTGCAGTAAGTGCCCTCCTCTGGGGAACCGCAGGGGGGGCCTCTGAATCCCATCCTGGCTCACCAAGACAACCGTTCCACCGCTGTCTACTATTAGCAACAGTGACAGTAGAAAGAAGACACACACATGAATGAGGGAGATATTACCAGTCAAAAATGCAGAGGATAGGCAAGAATGTTCAGGGAATTGTCTTTCTGGTGTGCGAAACAAAGAATTTCTTCCTTGTTTGGATCCTTCCCTAAATCCATTACAAGTCTGGAGCCCTGGAGAAGGCTTGCCTGGGAGATGGCACCCTTGAAAAACAGCCAGCACTGCTCTGCAGGGAGTCCTTCCCAGTCAAGGACCACAGCCAGGAGCTGGTTTAAAGGTTTTCCTAGAAGCACTTACATAGTAGTGACCACCCAGAGCTCTGGACATCTGCCCTGGAGCCAAATCAAAACATACAGGCACTACCCAAAGACCTCATGAAGCAAACGTCAGGGTGACAACACCCTCCAGCAGCGCCCCACTCTGGCCTTACCTTGCTGGTGGCAGTGCAAATAGACAATCTCCTCCAGGCGAATAGTCATGGCATAGTCCCAGTACACGCTGAAACAGAGAAAGAGAGGAAGCCGTGAGCTTCAGGGACGCAAAAAGCTCTGCTTCTGCCCACATCAGCTCCAGATCCTGCCTCCAGCTCTCCTGGCACCAGAGGAAGCTACAGAAAGGATGAGGTCCCAGCAGCAGTGGGACTGCCACAAAGCCAGCCTGAGTAAGTGACAACACCCCTCCAAAACCACTGTCCCTGCCACTACAGCTGAATCAGGGCAAGTCCAGTCCCACCTGCCCCGGGCTGTTTCTCTGCTCTCACGGCGTTCCCAGACGCGGACAGTGCGCCCATGAACCCTGGCAATTGCAGGGAGGGACGCGGAGCCCTGCAGAGCTGAGCACTCTCCTCTGGGCACCCCAGAAGGGACTCCTCGTCCTGCTGCGGTGCTGGGAGAACCTCTTGAACCTGGTAGGAGCAGCCCTGGAGCCCCAAGGGAATGTGCAGTGCAGCCCTCGCCTGGGCTGCGGCTTTGCTGAGCTCCTGTCCCCAAGAGAGGGGAAAATAAACCCTCGCGATTTGTGGGGTTTTTCAAAGCTCAAAAGAGATTTGGTCCCAGTTGCTTCTGGCGCAGAACTGCGCTCCCTCAGCACAGGCACCTCGAGGTGACGGAGCACATCTAGAAAATGCTGGAGAGCTGCTGGTCCCCAGGCAGGGCAGCGGGCCAGAGAGACGCCAGGAGGAAGCCGGGGAAGGGGATCTCGGCAGGAGACACCTGGCCTGACGCAAGGTCTCATTTCTGTGGAGAGCCTACCAAGAGCGCTGCTCTGTGAGGGTGTCGGCGTTTAATAACACCCTACTTCTTTGCAACAAAGCAGTTTCCAGATTTGGAGCAGCGTTACCTGTCACTTTACAAAAATAGTGCTTAAAATAAAGGCTTATAAAGACAGTTAAGGACAGGAAGGGGTACATCATGTCATTCCTTGTAGATTCATACTTACTTTGTCATCTGACTCCTCTCTTCCTTGGTCACGTCTTGACACTGGGAAATGTTAGAGCTTAGGCTGATGCCCAAGTCAAGAACTCAGAAAAGTAGTGTAGAGATGAAAATAGTATTTTAGGGGGAGAGTACCAGGCATAACAGAATGGCCCAGGGGCCGAGCAGCAAAGGGAGATGAAAAGAACATAGGTAAAAAAAAAAAATAAAAAAATCTACAATTGAGAATAAACAAAACTGAGAAAAAGTTTTGCAGAGGAAGATCTTTACCCTAGGTCGAAAAATCACCGTCCTAAACACTCGGGCTTCCCTGGAGTGTTTGCTGATGGAAAGGGATTTTGCTTGCTTTGTTTCATTTCTCAGGCAAATTGGGACCTGGCATCATTCTTTCGTTTGTTAAAAGGATTGCCGCTATCAAGAGAAATGCCAGCAGCCCGTAAGGCAATCCCAGGCAGAAGGGCATGGCAGTACACCCTGCCAAGCAAACTAAGCAGACTTCAGTCCCCCTGGAGGAACAAGCTCCAGGGACTCTGTTAAATCCAAGGGATTTTGAATACCTGCACGTAGGATCAGCTGCAGACTGCAGCGAAACAGCACTGCAAAACGGCACACGCTCTGTCACCAAGGTATGGTTATCTGGGCACTGCTCACGTTCCCTCTGTGCAGATGCTCTTCCCCTGTTTATGAACCCCTCAGTTCCCCAGACTAAAATAACCACAATAAACCGGAAAGCACTGCGTGGTGTGTATAGAGGGCATTCTCCTGAGGAAATTCCCGAGGGCAACAAATGAAACCACTTTGCGTCTTTCAAAACGAGCACCCTCCCGTTCCCTCGCTGAACGCTTCCCAGCAGAGACAGGCAACACTACAGCATCCCGCACCATCTCCCGCAGCCCACCTCAGGCCTCTTCCCCTTCCCTTCTCCTGTTCCAGCCTCAGGGGTGATTGCTTTGCTCGGCAGTCAGTGAGAAAACTCATGGATGGCTTTGGACAGCAGATCCAGACTCTGAACCCAGGGAACATTTTCCTCCCCTCTGCCCCACATCAGGACACGCTTGGAGACAGTCACCTCTTCTCATAGTCCAGATCCCCCACAGAGCCGTTCATCAGCTGGTTGGGAGTCCACTTCAGTGCCATGATGTCGGCCGTCTGGTGAAGGGACAGATACCCCGGGATTGCCTCCATGTCGTCTCGCTTGAGAAGAGAAGGGCAGGGAGAGAGTGAGCTGGTGAGAGCAGGCTGGAAGACGGCAGAAGCACCACCTCAGGCGACCTGAAGCTGAGCCATGCCCTGCAGCACAGTCCTGGCCCGCGACGCAGCCCTGCCTGCTGCCCCGAGCCCACCCGCTCACCGGCAGTGAGACACCCACAGTGGCCCTGCAAAGCCCCCAGCAGAGACAAGAGGACACCCCACCAGCCCGAAAAGGGGCCGAGAGAAGTTTGCCTCCGCTGGGCAGCTGAACAGCTCCACCTGTTAACTGCAAGCAATCTGCACTTCATTTATTTGACTACAATAAGCAGGAAGGGACAGCAGGAGGCGTTTTGTGGCCTCTGGTCAAGACAGGAGCCTGTTTCTACTCAGACAGAAGAGCTCTTCCATTCAATTGGGAGGATCCACATCACCAGGACCTCAGCAAACGCGGTCCAGTCGCTGCCTTCCCAGATTAGAAATGAGCCTGTGCTTTTCTCCGTCAAAGAGCAACTTGGGATAGAATTACCTGGCGGGGAGCAGAGCAGTATTGTAAAATGCAGGTGCCCCAGCAGGTACTTACCGGCTGCACCAGGACGTTGTTCTTGCCGTAGAGGAGCGTGGCTCGGGAATTCTGGTGGAGCGACTCCACATAGTCCCTGGCAGACAGCGACGGCCGGTCATCCATACTGCCACTCGAATGCCTTTTCTGAATCTGGAAGAGATCCACCTACAAACATGAGGTCAGCACAGATGCCTCTTGCTTTCAAAAAGCTTCTCCTGAAAGCTCATTCCCTCTGCACTTATACACTTAAGAAAGTCACTACTAGAAATGTTTCCCTCTGTGTCCTTTAAGAGGATTCCTGGCTCTGGCCAAGCTTGATTCCGTACTTAGAGAAGCCCCAGGAGTGTGCTTTGTTTGCAATAAACAGAGCAGACTTCAACTGCTTTGCTTTTTGTTCATACATGCTGTTCCCAAAGGGTGGAGACCCCGTGATGTGGTGCTGCGTCGGTCCAGCACGCCTGCAGTCTCCATGGCCCATGTTCCCGGCACTTCGGGCTTGAAGACTTCAAGTAACTGCACTTTTCTACCTTTGCAAACAGACAGAGCCTCAAGCCTTGACAGCACTGCCTGTGCACCCCAGGAAAGGGCTGCGAGGGACTGTCCCTCCCAGCCTGGCCGTCCCCGACTCACGCAGAGCGCCGGGCGCTTGGTGGGCGAGTCCTGGCGACAGTGCGAGCTGTGGATCCGGTGCCTCTGAACCAGCTCGTCAGCTGAGGGGTCTGTCCAGAAGTGGTCAGCGGTCTTCATCTTGGTGTACTCCAGTGCACAGGGCCCCACTGCACAGAGAAGAAAACAGCAAACATAAGGAAGTCATTGGTGGTGTTCCAATGACTGGTCACTTCTCAGATCCCCGGAGCCCAGCGTCTCGGAGCGCAGGTGGTGGGACAGCAGGCAACAAGCACCAGGCTTAGCACACGTTGCTGCTGCATTGTATGACAGCAGTGAAGGACTCGGAGAGGTCAGCCAGCCCCGGCAGCGAGGGATAACCCACTGCCTGACCGGCCACGTGCATCCCGAGCCCTGTGCTGCAGCCCCATGCTGCTTCCCAGAGCCCGGCCTCAGCCCTGGTTTGTGCCCACCAGTATTACTAAAGCCTGTGCAAGAAAAAGGAAACCCCAAGCTCAGCCTTGACGCTCCCCATCTCTATTCAGCGCTCAGCAGCTGGGCATCACATGGCCTTTATACGCACTCCACAGGGCTACCTGTCCAGGGCTGCTCAGTTTTCTGAAGTCCTTACTAGGAAACAACTGCATTTCACATCCCAGATCACAGAACCGGGAACACGGGTTTGGAAAGCAAGCCATCAAAGTAGGGTAAGAGGAAAGTGTTACCCAATAGAGATGCAAGAATTGGCCCATCCACTGGATCCATCAGGAGAGCTTCTTTCTCATAGTACTTACTAGAAGAAAGAAGAGAGCAGAATGCTGTAGCATTTCAGCCCCCTGGGACTGCAAAATGAGAGAGAGAGTAGTTTTCAATCACTGTAATGCCCTTCTCTTTCTGCATCATTCGTTGATGGTGTGAGGGCAAGAAACCCTTAACAGGACGTTTCTGCTAGCCGTGAAATTCCAGGGGAAGAGATGCCCTCCTGCACCACGTTGCAAGCACCACTATCTCCTAAGAAAACATCCCGAGGACTGGAGATGACACCTCCCCAGGACAGGACACCACAGCATGGAGTTTTCAGAAGACAAGGATGATGCAGTCCCCAACAACCAGCTGTCAGCACAGCAAGCGTGGCCTGTCTTTATTTTAGGGAGTCTACAGCAGCCACCAGCAGCAGGGAATCAGTCAGAGTCCCCGTGGTGGGCACAAAGCGACACAACTGGCCTGTCCCATCCAGGGACTTCTCTGGCCCACGTGGACACAGCTCAGCCAGCAACACCTCAAGGACCACCTGAAGGGGCAGATGCTGGTAGTGAGTTAGGAGGGGCAAATGGTTGGCCTGTGCCAGCACTCACCTGCTGTTTTCCACCAAGTAATGCACGATTTTATCCAAGACCTTTTCAAAGAGGGCTGTGCGGATCCAGAGGTGCTTGATGGCTTGAGGAGACAGGTTGGGCAGCTTCGGCATCTTGCGCACATTCTCCGGGATGCCCTGGACTTGATTTCGTCTTTAGAGGTACAAGGCAAAAGACAACATCACCGGCTCATCCCTGAGCACTGCAGGAGCCCACGGCACTCGCAGCACCTCGTGGGGTGGTGACTGGCTGTGGCGCTGGGGGACACCCAGGGAACCGCGGGGGACAGGGCTCTGGAGACTGCTCCCTTCATCTATTCTACCCCTACTCCAGAGGCCCTTATCTTTATTTGAAAACTGACTTCAGTCATTATGTTTCCCACTGTAAACGCACCCTAGAACAAGCCTCTGCCTCAGCAGAGTCCTCCAACCCACACACCTCTTCCACTGGTGCCTGAGGACAGCAGTTCACAAGCAAAGCGCAGCGTAAAGATTCCTGCCCCCAGGTAGCTGCACCATCCATCTCCCTGGTTCACATCCAAGGATGAGTAAGTCACTCTCAAACAGAAGTTGAATTACTGCAGGTTCAAGCCCTGCGCATTGAGGCAGACCACATTTGGTTCCAGTTGGCTTAGCGCACTGGTTCATAAACCGTGACAGTTCAGGAGCAAACACACTTAGCTGCTCCTCAGCATGAGACAAGGGGCTGAGGAAGTAAGAACTTTTCCATCCTAGCTTAAACCACAACTGCAACTTACAGTCAGTTCTGTCAGGATACCGAAAGCCCAAGACAGGACTCTGCTCCACTGAAAGAGCAATTCCTCCTACAGAGGCTCAAGTTGGACATTGCGATCCACGGCCGTACCCAACCCACACACCCACACCAAAACACAAGCAACCTGCGGGGTAACGGCAGTGCTGGTGCCTTACGCATTCTCGATGAGCTGCTCCAGGTCTTGCACCTTCTTGCAAAGCTCCTCCGCCAGCGGAAAGCTCTTGCCCACCTTCATGAACAGAGCTGCTATCTTGTTGCTGCGTAGGAATCCCGCCGCCCTCCGCTTCAAGCCGTACAAGACACAGGCTTCCACAGCAGCTGCAACACAGCAAAGGCGTTACTGAAGCAGCAGGAGAACGCGGAGCCCACGTCACAACAGCCAGTCTCCCGCTGCATCCATGACCTTACTCCACAGCAGAAACGTTTCCCAAGAGGAAAGCAGTGCCATGTTCTATTCCTGCCTAAGCAGAGAGGAGATTAGGGAACCCAGATGTCTTTTGACCCACAGCAGCAGAGTGGTACAGCTGTTCTGCCTGCAGAGTCCTCAGTTCTGCTGACTACACAGAGGGACAATTTCAGTTTTGTAAACCAGAAAAACTGAGGTCGGTGACGTCTATTAGAAGTTTGGCTAATCTCAACAGAAGGCCACACTTGATGGAAGTAAACATGAACCATGGGTGTGTGAAGTACTTCAATGGAGAGTCAGCTTGTGCTGTTAAAGTAGATCCAGAGCCTTCCTGAAGTCACCTGGGAGGGACCAGTCAGGCAGAATAACTTGTCTTGGACTCACTTCTCAGACCAACCAACAGCCTAAAGAGCATCACTAGACTAGTGATGAAATGGGAACATGCAGCTTTCGCACCACAGAGGTGGTATCTCTGTGCCACCACCAGCGAGCAGTCTGTGCTCCGTGCCCAGCTCGCAGCCTGCATTAGGATTTCTCAGAGCGCTTTGTTCATTCATAGAACAGAGCGGGAGAAAGGATTTGGACCACTGTGCTCACAGCCCTTTGTTCCGAAAACACCAGGATCCGGCTCCGCTACATGATGTCTTGAATGCAAACCAATTGATGCTAACGCTGGGAAATCTCAGCGCGCACGGAGCCTGCAATCCCGCTTCCAGGTCTGCACCGGCACGATCACTGTTACTGGCGCGGTGATTTTCCCAGCAGAGGAGCAACTGGCTCATGGTGTGGCAGTAATCGCACGGATCAGGAGCTGCTAAGAGCCTGCTCATACAGAGTCACTCAGGTTAAGCCTGTGGGAGTAAACAGTTTATCTGTGGTTTAACAGCTGGAAGTTAAGTGTGGCTGTACGCTGCACAGTGATGCACATGGCGCTGCTCCCCTGGCTAAAGGGGTCTGAAACCATTTCAGGTGACCAGTTTGTCTACGGGGTCAGCAGCCCCAGCCAAGCCTGGGACAGAGAGCAGACCTTTGCAGTGTCATCGGGGAGGGCACTGCCAACAGCGCACCAGACTTGGGTCCCTCTGCGAGCTCAGCACAAGAGTCTCTCCCCTTTCTCTCCAGTGCGCTCATCAGTCCAGCCACCATCATTAATCAGCAGGCTAAATGGCAGGATAGGATGTAAAACCTCTCAGACAACATATTTTAAGGCAGAGAACATCCCCACCTGGCCTTCAGGAAAATGTCCTCATCAGACATGGAACAACTAACAAGCAAGAGCACTGCATCTTCTCCAGATAGAATAATTGCTTTGCTCTGCAGACAAACAGGCTGACACGCTCCTCTCAGGTTTCTTGAAGATTGTAAAGAAACCAAACAACTCACAGAAGTTTTCCCTTCGGCGCACTCTGAGGGGTGGGTAAGGCTGGAACAGGAGATTGCACCCGCTGGTCCCCTGTGCTGGGACGGTCCAAGCAAGAAGGAGAAAGCTTAGGAGCGAGACGCAGGCACACTGAGGATTTCTAAAGCAGCAGAGGAAATGGGGCATTTTTTTTCACAAAAAAAATCTCAGTCTTCACACAAACATTTTCCCCAAAAAATACTAAAGGCAATAGAGAATGTGGGGATAAACCACAGGCAACGCCAGCAGCTGTCTGGCTTGGGAGATCCTCCCAGCTCATGGTGACTCGGTTGGGTCCTTGCAGCTGGTACTCGGCAGTAAAGTCCCCGTGCGAAGCTTCGCCTACCTCCCTGCACAGGGCTCTGCCGAAAGGCAGCGTCAGGCACTCACCAAACCACGGCGCCTCTCCGCCTGCCCTGTCCTGCCAGGCTCCCTGCCCGGGCACACGGCGAGCGGGCAGCCCGGGGAGCCGACTCCGCTGGCGATGGGAGACAGCGATGACTCCACAGAAAGACACACACACGTACAGGCTCCACCGGCAATCTGTTTGCCGGAGTCCCCTGGGAGGGCTCAGGATGGATGTGTAGTGTCAAACACAGACTTATTAAACAGGCTGATCAAAGCACTGGAAAATTACACAGACCCACAGTTCTGCAGGCGATCGATCTGGGTCTGACAGCAAGCTTTCTGGCACCCCGGCACCCCTCCTTCCCCAGGAACGCGACGCCGCAGAGCCAGCCACGCTGAGCCGCTCCTGCAGCAGCCCAGCAGATGCCGATTCGCCTCTCGCTTGGAGAGGCATTTTTTCCTACAGCTGAACAACTCTATGGAGACATTTAAAAAGACATTTCATGCAGACCCGTCACCGTCAGCTCCTCGGGCTGAGAGATGCTCTCGTTATCTCTGCCCTGCTTCGTGCCATGCCCGAGTTCACCGCTGAGCAGGCAGAGCCGGCGCGCAGCATCTGAGGGGCTGCGAGACACGTCCTGTGCTAACAGCAGAAAAGCAACACATTTGGGGCAGCCAAGTCCTGCTCACCCAAAACCAGCCATTCAGAGCCACTGGATGGATACCTAGCTTGTAAACAAAGCCCTGCACAAACTCTCCTGAAGCCCAGACATGCTACAAATAGCACAGCCCACGCATGGATGGGTCTTCCTACCAGTCCCAGAGGACAATTTGCAGCTGCAAGATAAGACCAGATGGCTGCGTGGCTTTGGGACCAAATGCAAGACAACTCACCTCTCCCTCAACACACACTGAAATCACCCCACTGCACATCCCTTCATTCCTCTGTTGTGTACTCCACGGCTGAAATAGGAGGGACAGGCACAAACCACTCCACATGCCTGAGACTGCACCCAGTCGTGCCCATTTCAGAGTACCCAGCCATGGAGCAGGCACCTCTGGAAAGCTCAGGCAGGTCTGAGCTCCTGCAGTGGAGCAGCAGTTGTCAACCCCAGTCAAGTGAGTTCAGGAACCAGCTGGGAAGTGGAATTGCAAGCAGAAAAATCACAGTTTTGGTTTTGGAATGTAAGGTTATGCTGACATACCGCAAATCACAGCAGCACCTTCAAAACCTGGGCAGGTTTCCCCTCTCCACCGAGCCTGAACCGAGGGTGAGGTCTCTGTGGGACCACACCGCCAACATCAGCTCTCTACTGACGGAGCTGGACTTCAGCCCCACTGCCTGCTGCCAGCACTGGGCCACACACCGTTTCCCCTCCTCCAATTTGTATTTTTGGGGATTTTCCTGTTCTCAAGCAGCCATTTCCAGCTCTTCGGAGGTGGCCTCTGTCTCCACCGCAAGTGGCAGCCTGGCCGGGCTCCAGCACTCACCTGGTGCAGCTGGGCGCCAGAGCACATGGTGCAATGCGCCATCGGTTCCACTCCGAATTTCCAGCAGACGAGTGAGAGCACTCAAGCTCGTGCAGGAGAGCGGCAGACTGCTTTGCTCATGTTACGGCCAGTGCATCACACCTCTCTGCCAGCTAGGGAACAGCACGTGGGAGAAAATCCAGACTGGTGAAAAGCCTCCCAGCACGCTCCAGCAAGATGGAGCGGTCATCAGCATCTGTCCTCAAGGCCATAGCCTGAACCTCTCCAAAGTACTACTCCTGCTGGCAAAAGTACAGACAAATGGGCAGTCTCCATAGGAAAAACTCTCCCTGCGCTCTCCTGAGTGCTCAGAGGTTTGAGCACAGAAACTAAGAGCACCTTGTCTATGCTAAATGCAGGGGGAACGGTGGGTATGTTTTAACTTTACAATTTTTTGAGCCCAGTTCATAACATAACGTCATCACTGCAAAAAGACACTGTGAAGAGACTCTCCCCATCCCTATGGATATAACCTACAGCAGAGACACAGCGCAGGGGCTCTGTGCAGCTACACCCAGGTACGGTGGAAGTTTGGATTCTTGGCAAAAGACTAAAGATATTTCTGAGATCCTGAGTGTGCTGTGGCCTGGCACGATTCAAACCACGCAGGGGTTGAGCATAAAGGCAGCCTTAGCACTGATGTGGACAACAAACCCCTCGGCTCCCGCAGCCCCCAGCCCTGCTGCCGGCTCTCCATCAGCCTCCCAGGGCAGCGTGAACGTGACAGATGCCAACTCGTGTTTGTCTGCTTCAAACCCTTCCCTCGCAGGCAAAACAGGGCAGCTGCCCATTCCTGCCACACCACTGGTTTCATCAGAAGGGGTTTGCGGTACACCGGCTACACGGAGGACGAGGAGGGCTCCATGAGGAGGGCTCTGCGAGGAAGGCGGCCCCCCCCCGAGAAAAGGGCAGCTCTGCCTGCCCAGAGCCAGCCCGGCAGCACGCTCTGCTCGTCAGGGAAAGGGGTTATTTCTAAGCTCACCCGGCTCACGGAGAGCCACAACACCAAGGAAGGTGCACATACCATTCAAATGAGAGCACAACAGCAGACAGACCAGAAGGCAGTGAAAGTGCAGCAGCATCATTAAGAAGCCAGAAGGAACCAACGAGCCCTTCGTGCCTGGATGCCTCAGCTCCGTGTCGCAGGAGGCTATAAATAATTGCAGGCTGCGAAGCCTCGTGCTGCACAGAAAAGCAGAGAATGAGTCACACCTTGAAGTCTGTTCTGCTCTTTCGATGCCATTCGGTCGACAGCGTACAAAGGCACACAGGCCTGAAACAAGCATCTGCACGTATTTCATGCGAGGGCACCGGAGAAAAGGAAGAAGGCAGCCTCTGTGCTCTCCACAGCAGAAAAGGAGACCTCACAGCTCCCTTCTCTCTCTTTTTTGTGCCCTTCTGTGGATGCTACAGTCTTACTCAGTGGTGACAGTGCTGCACAAGCCTTGTCGGAGCAACTCCTTCAAAAGCTATTTGTCATCACTTCTGTCGTTTTCTTCCCAGCCTCCAAATTAGCAAGCTGCCCTTCAGCTATTTGTAAATTGAGGAGCGCTGCTTCCCCTCCGCAGGCTGCCTGCAGCGTTTGCTCAGCGGCAGCCGCACGGCCCCAGCCTGGGCGTGCTGGAAGCGCAGCTGACTGTAACGCGGCAAACATCTCTGCTGAGAGCGACGGGCAGAGCAAGCAGATCAGGCTCCGAACGGGCACGGGTTGTCACCCCCGTACCTGGAAGCCAGGGCTCGTGGTGTCAGGGCAGAGCAGCACAGAGGTTCCCTGGCAGCTTCAATCCCAGGGCTGAGCCACGGGACAACAGGGGAGTTTATTGCTTTGTCCTTTAAAGACATTTGCTCAGCAGAGGACCCCGCGAGGTCCACCTCCCCGTCCCAAATCCCCGGCCGTAGCCATGCTGAGCAGACACCCCGCAGCAGCGCAGCCAGGCTCCTCCGTTGGCGGGAGCAACGCCTCCTCTTGCAGCTACGCTGGGCTTCGAGCGGGGACCGCAGGGCTGGCTAGCTGTCACCTGGGGAGGAGAGGTGACAGCAAACAGCAAGACACAGATAAAACCAGCACGTGGCTTTTCCAGCAGCTGGTAACAGTCTCTCCTAAGGCCCTTTCAGCTGTATCGTTTGCAGGGCACAACAGCCTCCCTCCCTTAACGCTGCTTCTTTGCAGAAAGCAGGGAAGGTTTGTCAGCAGCTCTGTGCCCTGCAGAAAGGAACAGCGGTTGTTTCTGCCATCTAAGCGCTTTGCAGAGGCCACTGGAAGGCCACTGGTCTCAGGGGTTCACCACTGCACGGCAGCAAGGGCCAAGCAGGTGCCCGAGATCTGCTCCGGGAGCACGCAGGCATATTGCAGAGGCCAGGCTCTGCCCAGCGGGGATTCCTCACAGACCTCCAGGACCGTGACGAGGAGGAAGGCCGTGGCTGTTAGGAAGGCTCGGGCCATGGGAGCCCACGATGTCACCTCCGTTACATGGGAGAGCTGGG